GGTTTCACATGTTAGCCAGGATGCGCTTCTTTCTCGTTTCTTCCATTTCTTTCCTTTTCTGTTCCTTCTTTCGGAGATGAGTCTTGATTATTTGCTCAGGCGTGACTTGGAACTCCTAGGCTCAGAGCAGTACTCCTGTTTGGCTACCTAAGGGTGCTGGGATTTATAAATGTGAACCACGCACACCTAACCCGAGATGCTCTTCTACTGAATTTTCTCCCGCTGAAGAGTTTAACGAGGAGTGAGAGATACTGATAGCGGACAGTTAAATAGACTTTCATATGTGCATCTTTCCTTTCGTTCCCCTTTCCCTTTTTCTTTTTTCCCTCCCGCCACTCCGCCCCCCACTTTCCCCTCCCCTCCCCTCCCCTCCCCTTCCCTTTTCTGTTTCTCAAGTGAAGCAGTGGGAGTGGAAAAGGAACAAAGAAATCTGTAACTGGTTGTGATCAATTAGTTGTAAACACCACCACACTTGAATGAACCATGTGCATCTTTCTTGCTAACCTGTTAAAACACAAAGACTTAACTCTTTGGGACTGTGGCGTCTGGATCAGTGATATTTTGATAGCTAGAAAGTTAAACTGGGCCAGTGTCTGAAAGAGATACCAGTGAAAACCTCACCCCTTCATCACTCAGTACATGATGCTGTCAGTCTAACAGTCTTGCCTCAGGTACAATAGCATAAAATACTTTACAGTTAATTAGGGAGATGAGGAGTTAGGGAAAGTATGAAGTGTGACGTGAACTCGTTTTTTTAGGGAGATAATTTATTTTTGCTAGTGATATTTTTCCTGTGCCTTGGAATGGCATACATCTCCCTTTCTGCATCTGAAAGACGCAGGACGCAGAACCTTGTCTTTCCTCATCCTCTTACCTTTGCTCAGTCTATAGAGAGATTTAACATCGAAAGTTAAAATTGAATGAGTCATCCTTCCTTTATGCAAAATGTGGAAGAATCTGACATTTTACATAAGTTTAGGGCCTATAAGATGACTAAAATATTAGTTTTGATTCAACCCATGAGCACAAATTTCAAGCCAGAGAGTTTTGCCCTACTCTTTGAAGGAGAAAAAGACAAGAAATTTTCTCTTCCGTTTTGGAAGTAACTAATTTTTTTTTTTTTTTTTTTTGAGACGGAGTCTCACTCTGCCGCCCGGGCTGGAGTGCAGTGGCAGGATCTCGGCTCACTGCAAGCTCCGCCTCCCGGGTTCACGCCATTCTCCTGCCTCAGCCTCCCGAGTAGCTGGGACTACAGGCACCCGCCACCTCGCCCGGCTAGTTTTTTGTATTTTTTTTAGTAGAGACGGGGTTTCACCGTGTTAGCCAGGATAGTCTCGATCTCCTGACCTCGTGATCCGCCCATCTCGGCCTCCCAAAGTGCTGGGATTATAGGCTTGAGCCACCGCGCCCGGCCGGAAGTAACTAATTTTTTATATTGATTTATTCATAGGCAGTAGATCTCTGGTCACTGAGTTTTTCTTGATCCGGTATGTTTGAAAAAACCTTGAGAGTTCTTCTTTTGTTCGTAAAACCCAAATTTGAATCTGGTACTAAGGTGTTATTAATCACATATCCAGGATCGAATACAAACATCATTTGGTACAGTGGCTCATGCACTTTGGGAGGCTGAAACAGGAGGATCACTTGAACCCAGGAGCTTGAGATCAGCCTGGGCATCATAGCGAGACCCTGTCTCTACAAAAAAACTAAAAATTAGCCAGGCGTAGTGGTGCACAGCCTGGGGAAGAGTGTGCAAAAAAAAAAAATTATATATGTATGTATATGTGTGTGTGTGTATATATATACATCTCTCTCTCTCTCTCCAAACAATACAAATAATAATCTTTGCAGTGTGCCATCATGGTTCACTGTAGCCTCAACCTCTTGGGTTCAGTTGATCCTCCTACCTTAGCCACCTGGGTAGCTGGGACTACAGATTCATGCCACCACAGCTGGCTAATTTTTTTATTTTTTATTTTTTTTGGAGAGACAGGATCTCACCATGTTACCCAGGCTGGTCTTGAATTCCTGGGCTCAAATGATCCAGCCTCCTTGGCCTTGCAAAGTATTGGGATTACAGGCATGAGCCACTGTGCCCTGTCTTGGAAGTAGAACTTATATGTGTGTGTCTCTGCCTCCCCCATTGAGATCTAGTACAGTACCTGAGATAGGTCTTCTCATTTAATAAATAGATATGGTTTGGGCTGGGCATAGTGGCTTACACCTGTAATCCCAGCTACTCAGGAGGCTGAGGCAGGAGAATCACTTGAACCTGGGAGGCAGAGGTTGCATTGAGCTGAGATCACGCCACTGCATGCCAGTGACAATGTGACAGAGACTGCATCTCAAATAATAATAATAATAATAAATAAATAGGTTTAGGTATGCTTTGTGTGTCAGGGATGGTGCTGGGAGGTCAGTTCATTTTTTTTTTTTTCTTTTTTTGGGTTGGGGGAATAGAGTTGCTCTGGTACCCAGGCTACAGTACAGTGGTGCCATCTTGGCATACTGCATCCTCAAACTCCTGGGCTCAAGCGATCCTCTAGCCTCGGCCTCCCAAGTAGCTGGAACCACAGGTGTGTACCACTGTGCCCAGCTAACTTTTAATTTTTTTATACAGATAGGTCTTGCCATGTTGCCCAGGCTGGTCTTGAACTCCTGGGCTCAAACAGTCTTGCCTCAGCCTTTCAAAGTGCTGGGATTACAGGCATGAGGCACTGCACTCAGCCTATTTTATTGTTTTTGCAAAGAGGAGCTCACTCTGTTGTACAGGTTGGAGTGCAGTGGCTATTCATAAACACAGTCCCACTCTAAAACAGTTGAAACATCTACCTCTTAGGATTGTTACAGAAGATAAAGTAGTTGACGTGTAAAGTACCTACAGTCACTCAATAAATGTTAATTCCCTGTTGGAGAAGGAGGATATGCCAGGCGAGCCATCTTCCTGCTCCTTAGAAGAGAGCTGATTTTAACTTTGCTAGTGTCGTCATCTTTTTTTTTTTTTTTTTTTTTTTTTTGTTGTCTCGCTCTGTCACCCAGGCTGGAGTCTGATTATAATGGCCGGATCTCGGCTCACTGCAAGCTCCGCCTCCCGGGTTCCCGCCATTCTCCTGCCTCAGCCTCCCGAGCAGCTGGGACTACAGGCGCCCGCCACCTCGCCCGGCTAGTTTTTTGTATTTTTTTTTTTTTTAGTAGAGACGGGGTTTCACTGTGTTCGCCAGGATGGTCTCGATCTCCTGACCTCGTGATCCGCCCGTCTCGGCCTCCCAAAGTGCTGGGATTACAGGCTTGAGCCACCGCGCCCGGCCTAGTGTCGTCATCTTACAGTTATTTTGCATCTCCATGTAGCCTTCCCATGTGATCCTTGTTCTTCTCCTTCAGATCTATGGGAGTCGTCAGATTATACTGGAGAAAGAGGAGACAGAAGAGCTAAAACGATTTGATGATCCAGGTTTGATGCTCATGGGTTTCAAGCCGTTGGTACTGCTGAAGAAACACCATTACCTGAGGCCCTCCCTGTTCGTGTACCCAGAGGAGTCGTTGGTGATTGGTAAGTAGCGTGGACCACGGATGAGTGACTCTAACACACAGTGCAGTTTATGGAGCAGTGCTTTGTAAATGGGCACTGCTTGGACACTGTACAGGAGATGTTAATAGAGTATGTTGAAAGTGTTTCAAGCTCTACCTGGTGCAATGGCTCATGCCTCTAATCCTAGCACTTTGGGAGGCCAAGGCAGATGGATCACCTGAGGTCAGGATGAGCCTGGCCAACATGGTCAAACCTCGTCTCTACTAAAAATACAAAATTTAGCCAGACCTGGTGGCTTGCGCCTGTGATCCCAGCTACCTGGGAGGCTGAGGCACGAAAATCACTTGAATCTGAAAGACAGAGGTTGCAGTGAGCTGAGATCACACCACTGCATTCTAGCCTGGGCGATAGAGTGAGACTGTCTCAAAAAAAAAACCAAAAGTGTTTCAAGCTCAAATTTTGGAAATGTGGGAATAAAGAAAGTTAAACAGATTTCTTTTTTTTTTTTTTTTTTTGGAGATGGAGTTTTACTCTCGTCACCCAGAGTAGAGTGCAGTTGTGCAATTTCGGCTCACTGCAACATCCGCCTCACGGATGAGGACTGTGGAATTCAGCTTTATAAATTTTTTTTTAATTTACTTTTTATTTATTTATTTATTTTTGAGACAGAGTCTCACCCTGTCACCCAGGCTGGAGTGCAATGGCCCGATCTTGGCTCACTGCAACCTCCGCCCGCCTGGTTCAAATGATTCTTCTTCCTCAACCTCTCGAATAGCTGGGATTACAGGAACCCGCTACCACGTGTACCTAATTTTTGTATTTTTAGTAGAGATGGGGTTTCACCTTTTTGACCAGTCTGGTCTCAAACTCGACCTCGTGATTCACCCATCTCGGCCTCCCAAAGTGCTGAGATTATAGGTGTGAGCCACTGTGCCCGGCCTTATTTATATTTATATATATTTTTGTTGTTGTTGTTGTTGCCCAGGCTGGAGTGAAGTGGTGCAGTCTCAGCTCACTGCAACCTCCGTCCCCTGGGTTCAAGCGACTCTCCTGCCTGAGCCTCCCAAGTAGCTGTTATTATAGGTGCACGCCACCATGCCCGGCTTAAATTCTCTATTTTTAGTAGAGATGGGGTTTCACCATGTTGGCCAGGCTTGTCTCGAACTCCTGACCTTAGGCGATCCACCCGCCTTGGCCTCTCACAGTGCTGGGATTACAGGCGTGAGCCACCACATCCAGCCTGGAATTTAGCTTTTTAAAAACAGTTTCCCATGTAATTCTTTGAAACATCACATAAGAGAGCAGAAAGCAAACAAAACCAAAATAAGCCCACAACTTTTTCTCTAGTGTTGGAAATTAAAGAGGATGTGAACCTTGTCGTTGTGTTTATTTGTGCAGTCTAGATCCTTTCTTCCTCTGTGCTATGGCTCATGAACACCCCAAATTGGACTTAATTGGTTTTCATTAGTAACTGGGGTCATGTCGTTAACCTAGTGTCAGTAAAAGTGAATTGACATTAATAATTTACTTTTTTTTTTTTTTTGAGACAGTCTCACTCTGTCACCCAGGCTGGAGTCCAGTGGCACCATCTTGGCTCACTGTAGCCTCAAGCTCCCAGGCTCAGGTGATTCTCCCACCTCAGCCTTTCGAGCAACTGAGACTACAGGCGCGCACCACCACGTCCAGCTAATCTTTTGTATTTTTAATAGAGACAGGGTTTTGCTGTGTTGGACAAGCTGGTCTCGAACTCCTGGGCTCAAGCAATCCACCTGTCTTGGCCTCCCAGAGTGCTGGGACTGTAAACGTGAGCCACCTCACCTGGCCAATAATTCACTTTCTGTTTGTTTGTTTGTTTTAAAACAGTCTTGCTCTGTTGTCCAGGCTGGAGTGCAGTGGCGAGGTCTTGGCTCGCTGCAAGCTCCGCCTCCTGGGTTCAAGCGATTCTTCTGCCTCAGCCTCCCAAGTAGCTGGGACTATAGGCACGCACCACCATGCCCAGCTAATTTTTGTATTTTTAGTAGAGACGGGGTTTCACCATATTGGCCAGGTTGGTCTCGAACTCCTGACCTCGTGATCCGCCTGCCTGTACCTCCCAAAGTACTGGGATTACAGGCGTGAGCCACTATGCCTGGCCATAATTCCCTTTCTTAAGTGGAATGTTTGGGGCTTCTAAACCTCTTACTCCTTTTAAAAATTTTCCTTTCTGTGTCCCTGCTGCCCCCGTTTTCCCCTCAGCTGGGGGTCCTCCAACCCTTACCTGTTGAGATATTATAAGCCCTTTAAAGGCTTGGTGTGGTGTGGTGGCTCATGCCTGTAATCCCAACACTTTGGGAGGGTGAGGCTGGAGGATCAGTTGAGCCCAGGAGTTGGAGACCAGTGAAGGTGACTTAGAGAGACCTTGTCTCTACAAAAACTCTTAAAACTAGCTGGGTGTGATGGTGCATGACTGTAGTCCCAGTTATTCAGGAAGCAGAGGTGGGAAGATGGCTTGAGCTTGGGAGGTCAAGGCTGCAGTGAGTTGTGATTGCAGCACTGCACTCTATCCTGGGTGACAGAGCGAGACCCTGTCTCAAATAAATAATAAAATTAAAATAAGCCCTTTAAAGAAAATGGAAGAGAAACTGTAGGGCTAAAAGAGAAGAAAGGAGGAAACCATTTTAGGAGGCTGGTCACTGGGCTTTTTGTTTTCTAGGGAGCTCAACCTTGTTCAGTGCTCTGCTCATCAAGTGTCTGGAGAAGGAGGTTGCAGCATTGTGCAGATACACACCCCGCAGGAACATCCCCCCTTATTTTGTGGCTTTGGTGCCACAGGACGAAGAGTTGGATGACCAGAAAATTCAGGTGACTCCTCCAGGTATGTGGCAGACATATTTCCAGGGCTTCTGAACCTTGCCCATACTTTGGAATCATCCATGGGCCCGTAATGCAGACCTACTGAATCATAGTCTCTGAGAATGGGGCTTAAAAATGTCTATTTTTTAGCTTTCTTGGGTGAATTTAATGCACAGACAGATGAGGCCACTAAATATAGTTATGGGGTGCACAGCATGCGCAGCCATACAAGGCTGATCTGCAGCTGGGATAGAGAAGTGTCTGCTTAGGGGACTGTTTGCAGATTACTGACACAAGTTCTTGGTACCTCACTGCCGACGCCTTTCTTTCCAAAGCCATTGTTTGGCACCCTTGTAATGTCTAATGTTTGGTTTAGTTCCTGTACAAACCAACCGTGGGGTTTGCCAAGATAGTGAGGTAAAGCAGAAAGACCATGGATTTTAAAGTCAGATTTGACTTTATCTTGTGCTTATGTGTCTGGAAGCCTGCTTGCTTTTGTTTTGGGCCCATCTCTGCTGCTTATTAGCTGGTCAACGTGGGCAAGTAATTTAACCTTTCTATTTAATATTTCTTAGCTACAAAGATGGGTGTTCTGGAGCACCTTTCCTTTGGGGTGGTTTTACATTTAACATGCATTACTGTAGTTTTAACTTTGATCCTCAGCATGTTCTGGAGTGCTCAGTTACTAAGCTATTATCTCTCGGCTCCAGATTCACCATTTTATGCTCTGCACTGCTGAGGCTGAGATGATCCAGACCTAATTTCATCTTTCACGGCTGGCTCTCAGGCTGTGTCTATAGTGGGTGCTAGAGGGAGACCAAAGGGCAGAGGAGAGGTGAGGGACTTGCTTCTTCCTGTTTGCTCAGTGTGGTCAGCCTTGTTTGCAAAGGCTTTCACTTGGTAGCAGCAGTTAGTTACAGAGCCTAGATTTTTTAGTCCTTCCAGAACCAGCCAGTAATTGAACTAAAATCAGCCTGATAACCCTTACCTGTTTCCTTTTATTTATCATGTGGTAGAGGGTAAGGAAAAAAGGGGCGAGGGTGAAGCTCAGAGGAGGCCCCCATGGAGCTGGGATTTAGCCCTCCAGGGAGGAGGCACTGTCCAGCTAGCTCTGGATGTATCAAAAAAGCTGAAGACTGGAACCAACTGCTGCCAGGTAAAGGGTCTCTGCTGGGGCAGTACAGACAGGAACAGTAAATACAGGAGGGCCACAACCACAGTTTTGCTTTCTGCAATTTCAGTTACCCATAGTCAACCATGGTCCAAAAATTTTAAATGGAAAATTCCAGAAAAAGTTTAAAAGCACAATCCCACCTGGGGCAGGAATCATCCGTTTGTTAAGCATCTTCCCACTGTAAATGCTACCCACCGGTTAGTCACTTAGTCGCTGTCTTGGTTATCAGATTGACTGTCAAGGTGTAATACGTATTACAGTGCTTGTGTTCAGGTCACCTTATTTAATAATGGCCCCAAAGCACAAGTGTGGTGCTGGCAATTTGGATATACTAAAGAGAAAGTCATAAAGTGCTTCTTTTAAATGAAAAGATGAGAGATCTTGACTTTAATGAAGAAAAAAATATCATATGCTGAGGTTGCTAAGATATACGGTAAGAAGGAGTCTTCTATCCACAAAATTGTTAAGAAGGAAAAAGAAGGCCGGGCACGGTGGCTCAAGCCTGTAATCCCAGCACTTTGGGAGGCCGAGACGGGCGGATCACGAGGTCAGGAGATCGAGACCAAGTGCCTGGCGAACACGGGAATGACCCGTCTCTACTAAAAAAATACAAAAAAACTAGCCGGGCGAGGCGGCGGGCGCCTGTAGTCCCAGCTGCTCGGGAGGCTTGAGGCAGGAGAATGGCGTAAACCCGGGGGGCGGAGCTTGCAGTGAGCTGAGATCCAGCCACTGCACTCCAGCCCGGGCGACAGAGCCAGACCCGTCTCAAAAAAAAAAAAAAAAAAAAAAAAAGAAGGAAGAAATTTCATCTTAGTGGCCGGCGTGGTGGCTCACGCCTAAATCCCGGCACTTTGGGAGGCCTAGCTAAGTGGATCACGAGGTCAGGAGATCGAGACCATCCTGGCTAACACGGTGAAACCCCATCTCTACTAAAAGTACAAAAAATTAGCCGGGTGTGGTGGCGGTCACCTGTAGTCGCAGCTACTTGGGAGGCTGAAGCAGGAGAATGGCGTGAACCTGGGAGGCAGAGTTTGCAGTGAGTTGAGATTGTGCCACTGCACTCCAGCCTGGGTGACAGAGCGAGACTCTGTCTCAAAAAAAGCCTGGGCGTAGTAGCTCACGCCTGTAATCCCAGCACTTTGGGAGGCTGAAACCGGTGGATCATGAGGTCAGGAGATTGAGACCATCCTGGCTAACACAGTGAAACCCTGTCTCTACTAAAAATACAAAAAATTAGCTGGGTATGGTGGGTGCCTGTAGTCCCAGCTACTCGGGAGGCTGAGGCAGGAGAATGGTGTGAACCCGGGAGGTGGAGCTTGCAGTGAGACGAGATCACGCCGCTGCACTCTAACCTGGGTGACAGAGCACGACTCTGTCTCAAAAAAAAAAAGAAAAAAGAAATTCATCTTAGTTTTTTTCTTTCCTTTTTTTTTTACATAAATTGAGACAGGGTCTCACTGTGTTACCCAGGCTGGTCTCGAACTCCTGAGCTGAAGTGATCGTCCTGCTTCAGCCTCCCAAAGTGCTGTGCTTACCGACGTGAGCCACCATGCCCGGCCCAAGCTGGTTTTGCTCTTGCACCTCAAACTGTAAAAGTTACTGCCACAGTACATGAGAAGTGCTTAGTTAAAAGGAGGCCAGGCACCGTGGCTAATGCCTATAATCCTAGCACTTTGGGAGGCTGAGGCAGGTGGATCACTTGAGCCCAGGAGTTTGAGACCAGCCTGAACAACATGGTGAAACTCCTTCTCTGCAAAAAATATAAAAAGTTAGCCAAGTGTGGTGGTGTTCACCTGTAGTCCCGGCTACTTGATAGGCTACTTGAGTCTGAGAGGTAGAGGCTACAGTAAGCTGTGATCACACCACTGCATTCCAGCCTGGGTGATAGCAAGACCCTGTCTCAAAAAAAAAAAGATGAAGGCTGGGCGCGGTGGCTCACGCCTGTAATCGCAGCCCTTTGAGAGGCTGAGGTGGGCAGATCCCCTGAGATCAGGAGTTTGAGACCAGCCTGACCAACATGGCGGAACCCCGTCTCTACTAAAAGTACAAGAATTAGCCGGGTGTGGTGGTGCATACCTGTAATCCCAGCTATTCAGGAGGCTGAGGCAGGAGAACCGCTTGAACCTGGGAGGCGGAGGTTGCAGCGAGCCGAGATTGCGCCACTGCACTCCAGTCTGGGTGACAAGAGTGAAACTCCATCTCAAAAAAAGAAAAAAAGAAAAAAACGTTAAATATTAAATGTATGAATGTACAACATGGACAGAAACATGTTTTAATTGATGGCAGTCAGGTTTGGTGCTGTCCGAGGTTTCGAGTATTCTCCGGGGTTCTTCAAACATATTCCCCAGGGATAAAGGATCTACAGTATACAGGAAGGGGCACCCCTCCTCCCTTGCAGTCCTCTGGAAAATGCAGAGGGAGTCTGTTAGGCAGATAATAACAAAAACCAGCTGGTGAAGTTCGAGAAATAGGGCCTACAGGGCCCCGGCCCCAGCACCACAGGATATAGAAGGAGGAATTTGGAGCTGAGAAACAAGTGACTGCAACACTTGAAATCAAATGAAAGAAAATTTATCTCCCTTCTTCAGGCTTCCAGCTGGTCTTTTTACCCTTTGCTGATGATAAAAGGAAGATGCCCTTTACTGAAAAAATCATGGCAACTCCAGAGCAGGTGGACAAGATGAAGGCTATCGTTGAGAAGCTTCGCTTCACATACAGGTGAGTCAATCTCAGACCTTCTGGAACTGCCTCTGGAGTTGAAAGTCTTATTAGAAATTTAGCTTGGGCATAGGCCAAGAGAATGACACTACTCTTCAGCAAACTGACAGATTACTACTTGTTATTAATAGTTTTTTGAAAGCCATATAGATAATGGAAGCTTTTATTATATTGGAGACTGGGATTTTGTGGTTGCTGTGTTGTGCTGTACTTAGCCAGATTAGTTGGTTGAACAAATTTAAAAAAATAGCGGGATTCTTAGTCGCCCTTCTCCTTGCTTGTTTGTGTTATTCCACAATGAGCAAAAGTAAATAAATCTAGTGTAAATTGTTACAGGCTTAAAAGAATGATTAAGTAATTCAAGTCATTCCCTCTCACATATATAATAGACCAACTCTCAAAGGCTGCATAATGGGACACTAAACATAATTTTTTTCACATACCATTTTTTAAAAAATTTTTATTTTAATTATTTTGAGACAGGGTCTCTGTCACCCAGGTTTGAGTGCAGTGGTGTTATCGTAGCTCACTGCAGCCTTGACCTCCCTGGGCTCAGGTGATTCTCCCACCTCAGACTCCAGAGTAGCTGGGACCATAGCCTTGCACCACCACGCCTGACTAATTTTTGTATTTTTTGTAGAGATGGGGTTTCACCATGTTGCCCAGCTGGTCTCAAACTCCTGTGCTCAAGCCATCCGCCTGCCTCAGCTTCTCAAAGTGCTGGATTACAGGCATGAGCCAGGGTGCCCAGCCAGGTTTGCTTTTTAAGTTGACTTGAGACGAAGTCTGGCTCTGCCATCCAGGCTGGGGTACAGTGGCATGATCATGGCTCACTGCAGCCTCGATCTCCTGGACTCAAGCAGTCTTCCTACCTAAGCCTTCTGAGTAGCTGGGACCACAGGCATGCACCAACATGCCTGGCTGATTTTTAAACTTTTTGTAGAGACAGGGTCTCACCATGTTGCCCAAGCTGGTCTCGAACTGCTGGACTCAAACATTCCGCCTACCTTGGCCTACCAAAGTGCTGGGATTACAGGCATGAGCTACTGCACCTGACCTCAACTGTTTTACTTGGGGTGTTTTTCTCAGCTCACCCTGGACCTGTAGTATCTCAGGTGATTTTATTTATTCTTATTTTTTCAGTGTTTAAATTGTCATGTTTCAATTGAGTTATATTATTGTTTTAACAGAAGTGACAGCTTTGAGAACCCCGTGCTGCAGCAGCACTTCAGGAACCTGGAGGCCTTGGCTTTGGATTTGATGGAGCCGGAACAAGCAGTGGACCTGACATGTAAGGAGGTTGAATCGAGTAGTTCTTTTCATGGGAGGCTTTCTTACTGGTTCCACTCTGAACCAGTAATTTAGGTGCATTTCCCAGTACTCTTTAAACACTTAACCTCATTGCGCACACCCCCTCTTTTTGGGAGCTTTTCTAGACCAGCTTAAACAGCCAGGGACCAGATTTGGCTGGTTCTGTAGTGAGAGGAGGAGAGTGGCAGGCTCCTGAGACTGCCTCTGAACTAAGCCACTCTGTGACTACCTGCTAGTGAAAGTTAAAAAATAATGTAAGAGGCCCAGCACGGTGGCTCATGCCTGTAATCCCAGCACTTTGGGAGGCTGAGGCAGGTGGATCACGAGGTCGAGAGATTGAGACCATCCTGGCCAACATGGTGAAACTCTGTCTCTACTAAATAAAAAAAATTAGCTGGTTGTGGTGGTGTGGGCCTGTAGTCCCAGCTACTCAGGAGGCTGAGGCAGGGGGATTGGTTGAACCCAGGAGGCAGAGGTTGCAGTGAGCTGAGATCACACCACTGCACTCCAGCCTGGTGACAGAGCGAGACACCGTCTCAAAAAACAAAACAAACAAGCAAAAATAATAGGAAATGAGTGGTGGATTTGGGTTTAGAATCCAGTGACTCCCGGCCTACCTCTGCCTCCTGGGTTCAAGCTCTTCTCGTGCCTCAGTCTCCCGAGTAGTTGGCCCCTGCCCAGCTAATTTTTAGTAGAGATGGGATTTCGCCATGATGGCCCGACTGGTCTCAGAATGATCTCTTTTACATTAGACAAAATAGCCCCAGTGTTAAAAGCAGAAGAGTTATTGGACCATTGTTACTGTGGCACCTGCTTAGCTGTGTCTGGCGGAAGAGAAACGTTTTGAGCTAAACAGCCCATCTCCTCCTTTCAGGCCTTAGGCAAATTCGGAAGTCGGTGGCTTAGTGCCTAGAAAGGTAGTTTAGGACACAGGCTTTGGAGGTGACTGATGTCTATTTGAATCTCAGCTCTGCTACTTAATAAATTGAGTAGCTTTGGGGATATTACTTAATCCCTCTGAGACTTGGTTTCATTTTTGGTAAAATGTGGATAATATTGTTCTTACAAGGTGTTAACAAAATGTAGGCCCTGACACTCAGTAAGTGCTCAGAACACAACCATTCTCTTTAGTCCATAGCTATTCCATTCCCAGGATCTCAACTCCTTACGTTCTGGCATCCAGCCCTATAAGTTCATGGAAAGTCCTATTTTCTCTCCCTACCTCTATTTTCAAAACAGTTAGCTTGGCTGCCCTAATTTTTTTTTCTTTTTTTTTTTTTGAGACAGAGTCTTGCTGTGTTTCCCAGGCTGCAGGGCAGTGGTGTGATCTCGGCTCACTGCAGCCTCCGCCTCCTGGGTTCAAGCAATTCTCCTGCCTCAGCATCCTGAGTACCTGGGATTACAGGTGCTTGCCACCATACCCAGCTAATTTTTTTTTTTTTGAGATGGAGTATCGCCCTGTCGCCCAGGCTGGAGTACAGTGGCGCGATCTCCGCTCACTGTAAGCCCCGCCTCCTGGGTTCACACCGTTCTCCTGCCTCAGCTTCCCAAGTAGCTGGGACTACAGGCGCCCGCCAACACGCTCGGCTAATTTTTTCGTATTTTTAGTAGAGACGGGGTTTCACCGTGTTAGCCTGGATGGTCTCTATCTCTTGACTTCGTGATCAGCCTACCTCGGCCTCCCAAAGTGCTAGGATTACAGCATGAGCCACTGCGCCCAGCCTGCCCTTATATTTCTTATAACCTAAATGACCCAGGTTTCTATCCTCAGCCCTCTCTTCTCTGCCTTCTTGTTTTCTTATCCACTCCCAGAACCTCAGTTGCCACGTCATGGCCGTGACCCCCAGGCCTATGTCTCTAGCCCTGTCCTTTCTTCTAAACTCTTGGCTGGAACTTCCAGCTACCTGGTCAGTGTCTACTGTAGGACCTGGATATCCTTCTGCGCAAACATCTGAACCTTTGACTCTTTCCTCTTTTACATCCCTCAGTCTTTTCTAATCAAATGCCTGTATATTTCCCTCTAACACCAATATATGCTTCTTTTTAAATATTTATTAAAGATTGGAAGTTGTTTTCCCACTCTCTTCTCAGCTTTGTGACACTGTACCACTAGGGTTTTCATCCTGTGCTGGTGGAAACCCTCTGACTCCTTTCCTGGACCTGCTTCCCTTCTTCTACAGGGCTGCTCTGAGTGACTAAGCCCCACCTTCCTCTCACATTCCACTTCTCCCCTGCTGCCCTCAGCAGGTTACACTGGCAGTTCTCAAAGTGTGATCCCTAGACGGGCAGCCTCAATGTCACCAGGGCATTTGTGAGAAATGCAAATTATTGAGCCCTTTCCCAAGCTGATTGAATCTGATGCTTGGGTGGGTGCCCAGAAACTTGTGGTTTTCTTTGTTGTTGTTGTTTTGAGACGGAGTCTCACTCTGTCGCCCAGGCTGGAGTGCAGTGGCACGATCTCAGCTCACTGCAAGCTCCGCCTCCTGGGTTCACTCCATTCTCCTGCCTCAGCCTCCTGAGTAGCTGGCACTACGGGCACCTGCCACCACGCCCGGCTAATTTTTTTGTATTTTTAGTAGAGACGGGGTTTCACCATGTTAACCAGGATGATCTCGATCTCCTGACTCTGTTATCTGCCTGTTTTGCGTCTTGGCCTCCCAAAGTGCTGGGATAACAGGTGTGAGCCACCACATGCGGCCAGAAACTTGTGTTTTAACAAGCCTTCCAGGCGGTTCTAAGACATGCCACTACTTTTTTTTTTTTTTTTTTGACATGGAGTCTGGCTGTGTAGCGCAGACTGGAGTGCAGTGGCGCAATCTCGGCTCACTACAAGCTCTGCCTCCTGGGTTCACGCCATTCTCCTGCCTCAGCCTCCCGAGTAGGTGGGACTACAGGCGCCTGCCACCACGCCTGGCTAATTTTTTGTAGTTTTAGTAGAGACGGGGTTTCACCGTGTTAGCCAGGATGGTCTTGATCTCCTGACCTCGTGATCCACTCGCCTTGGCCTCCCAAAGTGCTGGAATTACAAGCTGGAGCCACAGTGCCCGGCCTATTTTGTGTTTTTATTAGCAATTGGGTTTCGCCATATTGGCCAGGCTGGTGTCAAACTCCTGACCTCAAGTGATCCACCTGTCTCGGCCTCCCGAAATGCTGGGATTACAGACATAAGCCACTGTACTCAGTACTTTTATTTTTATTTTTAGTACTGAGCATTGGCTGGACCTCAGTGCATTACTTAATTAATTAATTTGAGACAGGTTCTCACTCTGTCACGCAGGCTGAAGTGCAGTGATGGGATCTCAACTCACTGAAACCTTCGCCTCCCAGGCCCAAGCAATTCTCCTGTCTCAGCCTCTCAAGTAGCTGGGATTACAGGTGCCTGCCACCATGCCTGGCTAATTTTTGTATTTTTTAGTAGAGATGGGGTTTCACCATATTGGCCAGGCTCATCTGGAACTCCTGACCTTAGGTGATCCACCTGCCTTGGCCTCCCAAAGTGCTGGGATTATAGGCATGAGCCACTGTGCCCGGCCTCTCAGTACTTTTAAAACTCTACAGATGATTCCCAGATTGGGAGCCAGTGCTCTTGCAGAGGTTCCCATGATGTGGAACAGGAGGCTTCTGATGCAGCAGGAGCACAGTTGGGCTCCAGCATTGTGCCATCTTGTAGTTACACCAGCAACAGCTCCCCTCCATGCTTGGCAAATATGGGCATGTGAGCTGCCCATCTCATCACCCTTGCCCTTAATGTGACACAGCTCATGTCAGAAGCTTGATTTAACCATGTAGTTGTAAGCTAACAAAAAAGGAAACAAAAATATGATCTTTCCTCCAAAGTTGCCTTTTCCTGTCATACTTGCTCCCCTTGTTTCAGCCAGTCATCTCCCCATCCCACTCCTATTCTTCTTACGTTCTGGTATCCAGCTCTGTAATTTCAGTTAAACAATAATTCCTATTGTATCAGTAAGTCCTGCCAGTTCTGTCACTTCTCATGTTTATGGGTCCTCTCTCACCCACACCCCACTTCACCTGTCTCTCTTACCCTCTTTCAGTTCACCCTCCACGCAGCTATCGGGGTTCTTTGGATAAGGCCTGATTCCTTGGCAGACATTCAAGCTTCTATGACCTCACCATGCCCATCTTTCCCACCTCTCTACTGGCCCTGTCCTCCTTAACACCCTACCTTCCAGCTATATGTCACCTGCTATTTCTCACCTGATGCCTTCTGCTTCTTAACTTTCACCATCCCTCCTGTGTTACAGTGTGCCTGTATAGTTGCTTCTTGCATGGTGTTGCCCAACTCCACTGCATCATTTTTATCCACCTCCTTACTCTTACTGGGCTGTGAAGAGTGAAACCCCATCTCTACTAAAAATACAAAAAAATTAGCCGGGCGTGGTGGTGGATGCCTGTTGTCCCAGGAGGCTGAGGCAGGAGAATTGCTTGAACACGGGAGGGGGAGGTTCCAGTGAGCTGTGATCATGTCACTGCACTCCAGCCTGGGTGACAGAGCGAGACTCCGTCTCAAAAAAAATAAATAAAAACTGGGGACAAATTTACCTATCTTATAGATTGTTAGAAGGAGTAAAGAGAGTAAGTTTAAAGCATTTACAACAGTGCCTGGCGGTAGGTAGTATGTGTGATTACAGTAAATGCAGGTGTTGGAAGGTACTTGGTAAATGCTGGAAAGACCTTTCCCGAGACCCCTCCCACCCCAGCAGTTAGGTGCTCTGTCTTCTGGTTCTCAGAGAGTTGGAACTGGACAGCAAGCTGGGGCTCATGACTCACCAGGCCACTCTTCTGTGTTTTGATTTTCTAGTGCCCAAGGTTGAAGCAATGAATAAAAGACTGGGCTCCTTGGTGGATGAGTTTAAGGAGCTTGTTTACCCACCAGATTACAATCCTGAAGGGAAAGTTACCAAGAGAAAACACGGTGAGGAGCTGAATGTGGACGTGTGGGCTATTTTAAAAAATTGCTTTTATGATGGTCTTATCACAGTGGGCAGTATCCTTTCAGAAATATCTATTCACACTCTAGTTAAAATGGCTTTTATCCAAAAAACAGGCAATAACAAATGCTGGCAAGGATGTGGAGAAAAGGGAACCCTCACACAGTGTTGGTGGGAATGTAAATTAGTACAGCCACTATTATGGAGAAGAGTTTGGAGTTTCCTCAAAACGTGAAAAGTAGAGCTACCATATGATCCAGTATGTATCCAAAAGAAATCAGCCTATCAAAGAGAGATGTGCACTCCCATGTTTATTGCAGCACCATTCACAGTAGTCAAGATTTAGAAGCAACCTGAGTGTATCAGCAGATGACTGGATAAAGAAAATGTGGTACACATACACAATGGAGTAGTACTATTCAGCCATAAAAAAGAATGAGATCCTGTCACTTGCAATAATATGTTAAGTAAGCCAGGCTCAGAAAGACAGATATTTACATGTTCTCACTTATTTGTGGAATCTAAAAATCAAAACAATTGAACTCATGGAGATAGAGCATAGAAGATGGTTACCAGAGGCTGAGAAGGGTAGTGGGTAGTGGGTGGGGCATTGGGGGTTGGTGGGGATGGTTAAAATAGAATGATTAAGATCTATTTGGTAATACAATAGAGTGACCATAGTCAGTAATTTAATTGTACATTTAAAAATAACTAAAGGAATACAATTGGAATGTTTGTAATATAAAGGATAAATGCTTGAGGGGATGGATACCCCATTTATGCTGATGTGATTATTTCACATTGCATGCCTGTATCAAAATACCTCATGTACCCCACAAATATATATACCTACTATGTACCCACAAAAATTAAAAATGAAAAAATTTTAGAAAAGAACTGTCTATACAACCATACATATTTATACATACCAACATACATATTTCAGCACAAAATGGAATAATAATCACATTGTTTTCTAGTTTGCTATTTTTGTTACTCAGCTATATATGTTGCACAGTTACTTATATCCACACTTACCTATCTATCTCATTTTTTAAAAAATGAGGCTGCAGAGTAGTTCATTGGATAGATATACCAGGTTATTTAACCAGACCTGTATTGACAAGTGGATATGCTGCACTGAATATGCTTTTTCCGTTGTGTACTTGTGTGAATAGATCCACAGGATACATTCTTGCAGTGAATTGCTTCCAAAACAGTGATAGATTTACCCTCTATCCAAGAAGGAGTGAGAATGTTTTCCTGTACTCTCACCCTTCCAGGACTTAAGTTTTTAAATTTACAATAAAAATGATACAGAAGTTGGCCAGGTGCGGTGGCTCACACCTGTAATCCCAGCACTTTGGGAGGCCAAGGTGGGTGGATCATGAGGTCAGGAGTTTGAGACCAGCCTGGCCAACATAGTGAAACATCATCTCTGCTAAAAATACAAAAATTAGCCAGATGTGGTGGTGGACACTTGTAGTCCCAACTACCCGGGAGGCTGAGGCAGGAAAATCCCTTGAACCCGGGAGGCAGAGGTTGCAGTGAGCAAGACCATGCCATTGCACTCCAGCCTCGGTGATAGAGTGAGACGCCATCTCAAAAATGACACAGAAGTTATGTTTTTTTTGTTTTTTTCTTTTTTTTTTTTTAAGACAGTCTTGCTCAGTCACCCAGGCTGGAGTCCAGTGGCTCAATCACAGTTCACTGTAGCCTCAACCTCCTGGGTTTGAGTGATCCTCCAGCCTCAGCCTCCTGAGTAGCTGAGACTGCAGGTGCACACCACCATGGCCGGTTGATTTTATTTCTTGTAGAGGCAGGGTCTCACTGTATTGCCAAGGCTGGTCATGAACCTGTAAAAGGTTTTCGAAGGAAGGAAGGAATGACTTACCAGAGTGAGCAACAGTTTTGGGTAAACTGATGGCATTCACACTACTTGTAATTTCCTCCTAGGTATGATCTGTGTTTTATTTTGCACTTTAAATGAAGCTGCCTTATCGAGATAAGTCTTCCCCATGGTGTCCTAGGCTGGCATCACAGCTTTATGGTTAATTGCAGCCCAGATTATATGAGGGCCCCTGTGCCATGTAGCTGGGATGCCACTTGTAGCATTTCCAGTCATTCCCTCCTGACCTTTTCCCCCAGATAATGATGGTTCTGGAAGCAAAAGGCCCAAGGTGGAGTATTCAGAAGAGGAGCTGAAGACCCACATCAGCAAGGGCACGCTGGGCAAGTTCACTGTGCCCATGCTGAAAGAGGCCTGCCGGGCTTACGGGCTGAAGAGTGGGCTGAAGAAGCAGGAGCTGCTGGAAGCCCTCACCAAGCACTTCCAGGACTGACCAGACACCGCGCGTCCAGCTGCCCTTCCACAGTGTGGCCAGGCTGCCTGGCCTTGTCCTTAGCCAGTTAAAATGTGTTTCTCCTGAGCTAGGAAGAGTCTACCCGACATAAGTTGAGGGACTTTATGTTGTTGAGGCTTTCTGTTGCCATGGTGATGGTGTAGCCCTCCCACTTTGCTGTTCCTTACTTTACTGCCTGAATAAAGAGCCCTAAGTTTGTACTATATACCGTTCTTTCGTGTGAAGGAGAAAGGTGTGTATGCCTTGCATCCAAAACTCACTGGCCATCACTTAGCTTAATTTTCTCTTTTCTTGGGAACACTCATCACCACAATGGAAACAAAACAAGTATCAGCAGGGAGGGTGAGAGTGACAGGTCAGGGTAGGTGAAGGTATTTTGGGAATAAGAAGCCCTAGCAGGATTATATGCTTATCCTCTGTCCTCTAGCCTGTTTTTCTTTAAATGTGTCATGTTAAGGTGTAATCATTTCTGAAGCAATAAGAAGGTAACACTTTTAGTTCTGGGGCCATTTGGTTCATGAGTAAACAGCAACTCCCTCTCACTGCATTCCTCTTAATGCAACATTAAGTCTTGCAAAAATATACCCATTTTCTGTTGCCCTGAGAATTTGGGTTCCAGAATAAGTGAAATGAAGAGTTATTCCTCTTGTGTTTTGGGGGAGCTGTATCAAGAAGATGAGGAAAGGTCCTAATATTTAAGGAAGGGGAAGAGGATAGGAGTGTCTTTTACCTTTTCTTCCTCTACATCCCTGCTCTGTCCTCCCTGTCTTCTGAAGAATTATCCTGAAGGAAGGAAGGAGAGCATCTGGAATTGTTGGTCTGCTTTTAGGATGTGAGTAAGGGTTTGCAGGTCCTGTGTCCTTCAGGACTAGGATGAGCAGCACCTCGAGGAAGAGAGTGTAGGACATGCCAGTTTACTCCTCTTCAGAGATTCTCAGCTTTGGATTCTTGGCTGTAAGCTTTATAGGGTTTGTTTTTTGTTTTTTTTGGCTTTTTGTTTTTTTTTGTAACCTGTTTTTGCTTTTGTTTTTGTTTGAAAGGAGATACTGTATTTTTTTGTATTTCCTTACGTGTGTGGGCAAGAGGGGAAGATAATTCTCCCATTAGATGCTTAGAAATTGTTGAGACATTGGACCATTGCCCTTAAATGTAGCAAGTTTGGAAACTGGATTCTACAGGGGGTTAATATACCAAGGTAAATTGGAATCACACTAGTCACAGCCAGTCACCTGCAATAGGAGGACAAGGAGTAGCCCCACTGAGCCCTTGGTATCCAACCCTGGATGCTGGAGCTAGTGAAGAGCAGCCCTGGAGTGAGCCCCAGGCTGGCTTTGCTGTGCACGCTACGCCCAAGCCTATGCTCCTTTGCCTCCTACTTCCAAAATGGAAAGAATGAGAGTTCAGGGTCAAACACCTACCAGAGCCAGGTAGGTGTGTGGATGTTAGACAAATCACCCGAGGTCTGTGCTAAACAGCAACAGAGTGATACTTCTCTGTAAATGAATGATGCCTTCTCTGCCTGCTGAACCCCCCACCCAGGAGAGAAGAAATACCATGTTCCAGTGCAATTGGTTAGGCCTTTGGAAGCTCATGAGGCTGATGTAGCAAATTTACGTTTTAGTGCCATCATATATACAAGTGACCTTGGGCAATTTATGAGGCATTTTTGAGTCTTAGCTTCCACATTCTTATAATAGCGTCACATGGTGAAAATGAGAAAATACATAAAAGAACATGGCACTCTAGGTACAGCTGGCCTTCTGCATCTGCAGGCTGCACATCCATGGATTCAACCTACGTGGATCAAAAATTTGGGGGCCAGGCACGTTGGCTCACGCCTGTAATCCCAACACTAGGAGGCCAAGGCAGGTGGATAATGAGGTCAGGAGTTTGAGACCAGCCTGGCCAGCATGGTGAAACCCCATCTCTACGAAAAATACAAAAAATTAGCCGGGCATGATGACGTGCACCTGTAATCCCAGCTACTTGGGAGGCTAAGGCAGGAGAATCGCTTGAATCTGGGAGGTGGAGGTTGTAGTGAGCCGAGATCGCGCCATTGCACTCTAGCCTGGGCAACGCAGTGAAACTCTGTCTTTAAATAAATAAATAAATAAATAAAACTTGGGGGAAAAAAATGGATGGCTGCATCTGTACTCTTGCTCTTGTCGCCCAGGCTGGAGTACAGTGGCGCAATCTTGGCTCCCTGCAACATCTGCCTCCTGGGTTCACACGATTCTCCTGCCTCAGCCAGTACTAGGATTACAGGTGCACACCACTGCGCCCGGCTAATTTTTTATTTTTAGTAGAGACGGAGTTTCACCATGTTGGCCAGGCTGCTCTCGAAGTCTTGACCTTAGGTGACCTGCCCGCCCAGGCCTCCCAAAATGCTGGGATTACACGTGTGAGCCACCGTGCCTGGCCAGACTTTAAATTTTGTCATTAGCCGGCCGGACGCGGTGGCTCACGCTTGTAATCCCAGCACTTTGGGAGGCCGAGGAGGGCGGATCGCCTGAGGTCAGGAGTTCAAGAGCAGCCTGGTAAACATGGCGAAACCCCGTATCTACTAAAAATATAAAAATTAGCTGGGTGTGGTGGCGTGCACCTGTAATTCCAGCTACTCGGGAGGCTGAGGCAGGAGAATCACTTGAACCCGGGAGAAGGAGGTTGCAGTGAGCCGAGATCACGCCACTGCACTCCAGCCTGGGCGACAGAGCGAGACTCCGTCTCAACGACAAAATTGTCATTATTCCATAAATAATACAGTATGACAATTATTTACATAGCATTTACATTTTATTAGGTATCGTAAATTATCTAGAGTATTATTTAAAGTATCCGAGAGGCCGTGCGTAACTCATATGCAAATACTGCGTCATGTTACATCAGGGACTTGGGCATCCTCGGATTTGGGTATCCGCATGGAGTGCCATGTGGCGCTTGACTTCTACCGCGGCCATCGGGCTTCCATCCGCCAGGCGGCGATAAAGCCGGCGCAGAGCGCGGACCTGGGCCTGCGCATGCACGCCACGGAGGAGGCGGGCCAGGTTCCCGGACCTGGGAGCCATAAGTGGGAGGGTCTGGTGGGCTAAGCTGAGCTGCACCCGGGTGCCTTCTGGCCGCTGCAGCAGCTCGAGAACACGAACCGTCTGGCCAAAAGTGAAACAAACACACGGATGCACATATGTCTGTTTACTTCTAGGCCAGGTGCAGAGGGAACGTCTGGAATGGCACTCATCGAAAGCTGCGGTTACGTGGGAAGATGAGCCTTTTACCTCTCAGCGTTTCCCCTTCTGTAATGTCTTGTTTTAATGTCTTATTGAAAACCAGAAGAGGCCGGGCGCGGTGGCCCATGCCTGTAATCCCACCAGTTTGGGAGGCTGAGGAGGGTGGATCACCTGAGGTCAGGAGTTCCAGACCAGCCTGGCCAACATGGTAAAACCCCATCTCTACTAAAAGTACAAAAGTTAGCTGGGCATGGTGGCGTGTGTCTGTAATCCCAGCTACTCAGGAGGCTGAGGAAGGAGAATCATTTAAACCCGGGAGGCGGAGGTTGCAGTGAGCTGAGATTGATTGCTCCACTGCATTCCAACATTGGTGACAGAGCGAGACTGTCTCAAAAAAAAAAAAAAGAAGTAATGTGTTATTTAATGACAGATAAGTTCTGAAAAATGCATTGTTAGGGAATTTCATCACTGTGTAAACACTATAGAGTATACTTACAAAAACCGGCTGGGCGCGGTGGCTCACGCCTGTAATCCCAGCACTTTGGGCGGATCAAGAGGTCAGGAGATTGAGACCATCCTGACCAACAAGGGGAAACCCTGTCTCTACTAAGAATACAAAAATTAGCTGGGTGTGGTGTCGTGCTCCTGTAGTCCCAGCTACTCAGGAAGCTGAGGCAGGAGAATCGCTTGAACCAAGGAGGCAGAGGTTGCAATGAGCTGAGATTACACCACTGCACTCCAGCCTGGGCGACAGGGCGAGACTGTCTCAAACAAACAAACAAAAACCCTAGATGGAATAGCCTACTATACATACACCTAGGCTACAAACCTGTACTGCATGTTACTGAACACTGTAGGCAACTGTAACACAATGGCATTTGTGCATCTAAACATAGGAAAAGTACAGTAAAAACACAGTATTATAATCTTATGGGACCACTGTCATTTATGTGATCTGTCATTGACTAAAAACACTGAATGCACGACTGTGAAAAAGTAAGCACTGCGTAAAATTCCACCATCCAAAAATATAAAACTGCTTCAGGGGTGGTGATAAGAACACTGGAGTAAACTGAGAGAAATGGCCAGCCCAGGATGCACAGAACAGGTGCAACTGGCCAAGGTGGCTCCCAGGTTCCCCCTGGTGTGCTTCTTGCTGGAGCAGGGGTATATGGGTCCAAGCTGGCGAAGAGGGGATCTATTCTCACTTGACTACTATGGTACCCAGTTATTTGCACCTTGGAAGATTTCTCAAGCTGAGGTATTAGGCTCTCAAGGGACTTATCTTTAAGATAGTAAGTAGAAGAGGCAAGTGAGGGGGCAGTGGCTTTAGTCACCAATACCAGTCCTGCATGTGCCAAGGGTTACTAGAAACCCTGATTCTCCAACAGTGATTCTCAATTGGGGGTGATTTTACTGCCGGGGGCATTTAGCAATGTCTGGAAACATTTCTTCATTGTGGGGGGGGCGCTGCTACTGCCACCTAGTGGGTAGAGGCCAGTGATGCTACTAAACATCACACAACACACAGCACAGTCCCCACAACAAATTAACCAGCCCCAAATGTCAACAGCACAGAGGTTGAGAAAGCCAGTTCCAGTGATAGCAATGCTCCAGTTGAGTCTGTATGACGTTTTGAACTGCCAAGGCAGAAACTACCTGGTAGGAGAAGACAGTTCTTCCATAGCCTTCTGGTAAAAAAGTCTAAGCTAAGTGGCCAGGCGTGGTGGCTCACACCTGTAATCCCAGTGCTTTGCGAGGCTGAGATGGGTGGATTACCTGATGTCAGGAGTTCCAAGACCAGCCTGGTCAACATGGTGAAACCCCGTCTCTACTAAAAATACAAAACTTGCCGGGCGTGGTCACGCATGCCTGTAATCCCAGCTACTTGGGAGGCTGAGGCAGGAGAATCACTTGAAGCCAGGAGGCAGAGGTTGCGGTGAGCTGAGATCATGCCATTGCACTCCAACCTAGGCAACAA